GACCGTCCCCGGGTAACGACGCCCCGCCCCCCCCGGGCTCCGTGTCCGTCCCCCAGCCGCGAGTCCCGCGGGGTAACGAGGCACCCAAGCCACCCCCCCAGGCTCCTTGTCTGTCCTGCAGCAGCGAGTCCCCCGGGATAACGAGGCACCCGGCCGCCCCCCAGGCTCCATGTCCGTCCCGCGGCGGTGAGTCCCCCAGGGTAACGAGGCACCCCCCTGCGCTCCGTGTCCCTCCCACGGCGGCGAGGCCCCCCGGGTAAGGAGGCGCCCGGCTGCCCCCCGGGCTCCGTGTCCCTCCCACGGCGGCGAGTCCCCCGGGGTAACGAGGCACCCCCCTGCGCTCCATGTCCGTCCCGCGGCGGCAAGTCCCCCGGGGTAACGAGGCACCCCCCTGCGCTCCGTGTCCCTCCCACGGTGGCGAGGCCCCCCGGGTAAGGAGGCGCCCGGCCGCCCCTCAGGCTCCGTGTCCCTCCCGCGGCCCCCCACATCACACTGACTTCGGTTTTTTTTTCCTTTTTAATGTAAATTTATACAAACAAACCCATGCAAAAGGTAGAAACGTGGGGGACAGACATTTCGGGGAGAGTGGGGGGGGGCAGGGTGAACACCACGGGGGGGGGGGGTGTTTTAATTTTTACCAGCATGCAGCTCTTCCCCCCCGCGCCGTGGAGAGCCCGAGCGGCTTTAAGATTTGTTTTTAAATATATTCTTCAGTATAATTTTTATTTTGTTTAGGGTTCCCCCCCACCAATATATTACAACTATGTACACAAGGTGTGTGTGTCTGTGTGCATGAGGGGGCGGGCAGGGGTGGGGGGGACACGCAGGCTTTATACAGCAAGCAGGGAACATGGGGGGGGGGGGCAACCTGGGAGGCTCCACCCCCCCTGCTCCCCCGATAACACATCTGTAATATATACACAGCGGCCCCAGCGAGGGGGAAATGACCCACTGAAGGGCTCCCGGGGGCCGACCCAGACCAGCGGGAGGGTCTGGCGAGGGCAGGGATAGGGGGCTCGGGGCGTTAGGAGGGCTGGGCTCAGGGTCCCTTTAAGAAGAGGCCCAGCAAGGCTGTGGGGAGTAGGGACCCAGAGGCTGGGTGCTGCAAAGCCCCATAGGATGTAGTTCTCAGCCCCACCCCCGGCCCTGTGGGGTGGGGGGGGGTGTGTGTGTGAAGACCCTGCAGCTGGGGACAGGTCAAGCACATAAGGCTGAATGAGTACTTAAAGGGCCCTGTTTGCAGAGGGCTGGGAATGAGCCAGCAAGAGAACCCAGGAGTCCTGGCTCCCAGCCCCCCTGATCTAACCCACCAGCCCCCACTCCCCTCCCAGAGCCGGGGAGAGAACCCAGGAGTCCTGGCTCCCAGCCCCCCTGATCTAACCCACCAGCCCCCACTCCCCTCCCAGAGCCGGGGAGAGAACCCAGGAGTCCTGGCTCCCAGCCTGGGCGGGGGGTAACTTGGCACAAAGATCCGGTGAAATGAAGGGGGCAGCGGAGGGATATGGGGGTACAACAGATGGTACCTCAGTTCTGAAGAGACATTCCCCCCCCCCCGCCCCGCATGGCTGCATCATCCCCTTCAGGCCAACTCAGGGGAGCCCCCTTGGCATGAGGAGCGAGCCAGGACCCCCTCCAATCTGCTTCCCTCCAGCCACTCTCTATTGCACAATTGTTAAGACAGGGGGGGCCCTGCACCCCCCCCAGGGGAGGCCACGCTCCGTCGCCGCCGGGGCTTAAGACTCCATCATCACAGTTTCAGAAGGGGAGCGAAGGTGGGGGCGGCCGGCCAGCCGGCCCCGGATGCCTGGGTTCCCGGTGTGGCTGCCCCAAGCTTTGGCGGGCCGCGGGCGGGGGGGGCAGAGGGGGCAGCGCTAAGTGGCCAGACCTCGCTTCTGTAAACTTTCCACCTCTTTGCTTTGCTTTAGTTCCTTCATCCTGTGGGGGGCACAGAGAAATAGGCGGTAAGGTGGAGGGTTCCCAATGACCCCCCCAAACTTCAATCCCACCCCATGGGGTGTCCCCCACACCCCGATTACAGCCTGGGAGCACGGATGCCCATGCACCTTCCTCCTTTCATGCCACCTCATCCACCAGCCCCTCCAATGAGCCAGATTCCCACACCCAGCGCATCCTGCCCCATCCCTCTGCGGGGGGCGCTCCCACCTCCATCCTCGACTGCCCCCGCGTCTCCCCCCGGCCGCCATACCTGTGCCGGCAGCGACGCAGGAACCGCATGATCTTACGGGCGGCCTGGTCCTGCTTCTTCGTGAGGAAAGTGCCCCTGGGGAGAGACAAAAGAAGAAGCGAAGGTGGAGCAGGGCAGATGGTCATAGAGAGACCCCTTGCTGATGCGGCCACCTCTGGGGGGGGCGGCCGGTTACCCAGGGACCCCTCGCCCGGCGCTGAGACGCAGCCACCTCTGGGACGGAGCGGCTGGTTACCCAGCGACCCCTCGCCCGGCGCTGAGATGTGCCCACCTCTGGGGCAGGGCGGCCGGTTACCCAGGGACCCCTCGCCCGGTGCTGAGATGCACCCACCTCTGGGGCGGGGCGGCCGGTTACCCAGGGACCCCTCGCCCGGTGCTGAGATGCGCCCACCTCTGGGGCGAGGTGGCCCGAGCCAATGCCAACTAGATCTGTGGGATCTTTTCATAGCCAGAGAGGTGACAGGAGCCAGTGGGGATAGGGAGCAGCCCCCCCACCCCTCCCAGAGCCGGGAGAGAACCCAGGAGTCCGGGCTCCCAGCCCCCCTGCTCTAACCCACCAGCCCCCCCCACCCCTCCCAGAGCCGGGGAGAGAACCCAGGAGTCCGGGCTCCCAGCCCCCTGCTCTAACCCACCAGCCCCCACTGCCCTCCCAGAGCCGGGGAGAGAACCCAGGAGTCCGGGCTCCCAGCCCCCTGCTCTAACCCACCAGCCCCCAC